CGGGCTCGAGGCGGAGACGGCCGCAATATTCATCGACGGATTATTGAGTTGTTAAGAAGGATTCAGAGAGGTAAACAATCGGGCTCCGGCAAAGGCGGAGGCGGCGGCGGAGGCATTGAAAGTAGTAAGGGAGGAGAAGGGAGCCGCGTGTTTAGGCATATGATGCGAGAGAGACAAAGAAGGGAGAGGCTTAGCCAAAGCTATGCTGATTTACATGCTATGCTCTCTGCTCGGACAAAGGTATTGATACATTGCAATTACAGTAATTAATGGTTAATGTGATTAAGTTTTAATGTCTTGAGTCTAAAGGAGTTGCTTTTATATTGATATGAGTGTGGCATTTTCAAAAATTTGTGAAATTTGCAGAAGGAATTGTCTAACTTGTCCAATTTGATGGAGCAAAAGCATTTAAAGGAACAAAATTTGGAAGATTTACATACATGCTGCTTAGTTCCTGTGTATTTAGACATGTAAAACTAAAACTTCAATTTTTTACGTATATACCATCTTAACTATTCATGAAAAGGTATATTTGACATTCGAAAAGTTAAATTTGTGATATTTTTTATGTGATGTAAGGAATTGGTTGGTATAAATCTAAAAAATAAAATTTAGATGTTACAAATGTAAGACTATAGGAATTGAGTTGTCTGCAAATGCCCCCAATTGTGGTATGCTGATCATAACTGGTTTAAATTAAGTTGCTGAATTTGTTTTTTGAATTAAACCAAATTTGCATTGCATTCTAATTTAGAACAATATCTGATTTATTTTTGCTTTGAATTATCAAATATGTTTACATGCAGGCGGATAAGAATTCGATAGTGCAAACAGCTGCAGCGGTGGTGAGGGAGTTGAAAGGAGTGAAGGAAGGGTTACAGAAGAGAAATGAGGAGCTGATGAAAATGGTGGCACCGGCGATGGCTACGGAGGCGGCGGAAGGGACTAGTGTGAGATTTGAAGAGAGAATGGAGCTCGCTGGTGGGGAAGGCCGGGTGATTACAGTCCGAGCGGAGAATTCAACATCGGCGATGGATTCGGTCATTGGTGCTCTTCGTTGCCTCGAGCGCATGGATGTGCAGGCCAGAGCTATTAGGACGGAGTTCGCGGGCGGCGGCGGAGGAGGGATGATTGGTGGTGTCATGACCATTGAGACTAATGAGGTATGGAAAAAATGGAAAAACAGTTTCTTTTTAGATGAAATTATATAAAAATCTGCTTTTTTTTTTTTTTTTTTTTTTTTTGTATTTTGATGTATGAAAAATATCATAATCAAGAGAAATTATTATGTCTGGTGTCTGTACGTTTTGATATCAACAATGAACGAGCCACAGGAAATGTGCGAGTGGCTTGATTAGCCCTGTTGTCTGAATGTACAGTTTATCGGACGTAATAATTTCTGTGATAACCACAAAGTATACAGAGATATTGGGGAGAATCTTCATAATTAATAAATAATGTTTGTGAGATATGCCTTCCTCATCTTCCTGGTTAAAAATTTAATGTGAAGATATGCATTGTTAACCAATCTGATAAATCAATAAATAGTTAAAATTTTATTCAAATTTATGAAGCTGTTTGATATGCGATTTAATGT